GGGGACCGGCAGGGCTGCGGGCAGCGGACCTGGCCCCTCCCGGGACCGGGCACGGCGAGGTGGGAGCAGCCCCGGGGACACCGACACCCGCCGGTGGGATCACGGGCACCGGGGGGATCACGGGCACCCGTTGGATCACGGGCACACAATGCCCCTGTCCATGGCCAGCTGGGCAGCCGCAGCTCCCGTGTGGCACAGAGCCCGGGAAGGGGATGTGACCCTCCTGTCCCCAGGAAACACGGCAGTGGGGAGGCAGCAGCCACGGCAGGGGCTGGGGGCTGCAGCAGGAAGGATGCACAGGACTGCAGGAGTGAGGAGTGACAATCTGCAGGAGGAGAGGAGAGCCAGGGCAGGAGGGGATGAGGGGACTCGGGTCAGCTGGACTGGGACAGCACCAGGCTGTGGCACATGGGGACCCATGGGGACGTGGGGCAGAGCTCAGGGGCTGTGTTGCTCCTGCTCACACAGCCCAGGCGATCCCAAAAGAACTCACAGCAGCCCAAAATGGGCTCTGGAAGATGAGTCCTGCAGTGAGTGCCAGCACTGATGGGGCCTGCAGGAGTCAGGGCTGGGAGGGATCTCAGGTGGTCACCACCACCCCAGAGTGTCAGTGCTCATCTGCTTCCAGTAGCATGGACATGAAACGGTGCACTAAGCCTTGCAGCAGGTGAAAAAGCCTCAGAAAGCTGAGCCTGATGAAACACATCCCCCCCCCTTTCCCATTCTGCTCACGTCTGCAGGTCTGCACTGCTGAATGAGACCCTCTGTCTGACCAAGGCACTGTCCTGCCCTCCACACAGAGCAGCCACACAGGATTGTCCCCACTGAGCCTCACTTAGACTTGGTTTGGCCCACAAAGGGAGCTCAGCTGAGAGACCCAATGAGCACCACAGCCCCACAGAACCATTTCTGACCACTCCTAGCTACTTCTGAGCTGGCCAAAAAGCTGTGGATCAGAAGTGAGATGAGGACATTGCAGAGTGACCGCTCGTCCATCTCCCTGTGCAAGGAGGCCCAGGACCAAGCCTGTCTCTCCTGAGCTTGATCCTCCCTGCTCAGGCTGGCTTCCCACCCCTCCACACCACCACCAGGAATGAGAGGAAAGTGCTTTTAAGAGAGACCATGTTTTCCAGGAATTCCTAGAAGCTTTTATTCACAGAAGCTGTTTGTCAGGGATTTGAGCTTCTTGCTTTCTCTTCTTCAGAGTTTCTGACTTGCCCAGCCTGTGGAACAAGATGCCAGTGTCAGGTCCGAGCTGCCTCCCCTCAAAGGGACACGGCTCTCCATGGTAGCGTGCCAGGAACGTCAGACCAGAGAGCCCCCTCTCTGCTGGCCCGACAGCCAGCCGGGACAGCAGCTTGTCTGCCGTGTGTGGGACCACGGGCTGCAGCAGCGTCCCGTACACGCGCAGGCACTCCAGCGTCACGTGCAGGATGGTGTCCAGCCAGAGCTGCTCCGCAGCGTCCCTTCGCTCCAGCTTCCAAGGCCTGTGCCTCTGGAAGAAGCCGTTGGTCTGCCTCACACACTGGGCAATGCATTCCAAAGCCTTGTAGATCTGGAAGCCTTCGAAATGAGCGTGCACCTGCGCAGGCAGCGAGGCCACCGCCGCCACGAGCTCGTAGTCCTCGGCGCACGCCCTGCCCGTGCCCTTTGCCTCCCCGGAACCCGGGATCTTTGGGAAGCAGGGCTCTGAGAAGCGTGGGTAGGTGTTGCTGGGGTTAATGCTGGGGGCTGTTGAGCGATTCAGCAGCCCCCCGAGCGCATCTGCCAGCTCCGAATTCACCAGCTTCACCACCTTCTCATCATAGTAGTCACAATCCCTCTCTGGGACGCCCTGCCGCAGCAGGAAGTAGCGGAACCCGTCCACGCCGTACTGCCCCACGCACGCGCCGGGGTCCACCACGTTGCCCAGGCTCTTGGACATCTTCTGGCCCCGCACGGTCCAGTGGGAGTGCACCAGGATGCGCTCGGGGGGCTCCAGCCCTGCCGCCAGCAGCAGCGCCGGCCAGTAGAGCGCGTGGAACTTGAGGATGTCCTTGCCCACGACGTGGTGCACGGCCGGCCACCACGCGCCGTGCCCCTCGGGGTACCCCAGCACGCTCAGGTAGTTCACCAGGGCGTCCACCCACACGTAGATGGTCTGGGTGGGGTCACCGGGCACGGGGATGCCCCACTGCAGCCGGCTCCGCTCGCGGGACACCGACAGGTCTGGCAGGTCCTCATCCAGCCAGCGGAGCACGCTCTGGTAGAAAGGGTCAGGAAAAACGGCACGTGGGTTGTCCCGGAGCCAGTTCTGCAAGGGAGCCCGGAACGCTGAGAGCCTGAACATGTAATTCTCCTCCTTGGTCCAGTGCACCTGGGATAGCAGGAGAGGAAAGGATTATGGCCCCAAGAACAGGCTGGCAATTTGCACACACCGCTCTCAGCACGGAGGTTGTCACACAGTGCCCGTCTCTGGGTGTCCTCCCATGCCAGGGGAAGCTCTCAGCACCTCTCCATGACAAGAAGGAACCTTCTTACCCAAGACGGTGCCTTGGGATCCCCAGAACACACCTGAGGGCTCAGGCACCTGGGATGGTTCAGCATCCTGCTTCTAAAAACACATGTAACCCTGGGAGGGAACACCTTTCCAGCTGCCAGGCTGATGTGACATCAGAAAGGAGTTAGGGAGATAAGAATACACCTTAATGACATACTTCTGCAATAGTAATGGAAAATCATGTAAAGACAAATTGACATTGTAATTCCTGTCCTACTGCCACTCCCGGTGCCTGCCTTTGTTCTCCTGGGGCTGTACTCCTCTTTTTCCTCAGTTTGTGCTTTAATGCATCTAAGTCACTAACTTTGTTTGCTTACAGCACTGACAGCACTTCTCCCCCACAGTTAAATCCATTAAATGACACATTCAGCTAAACCAGTGAAAACTTGGTGGGTGGATGTGGTACGAGTGAGCTGTGTAAGGCACTCGAGGATCCGTGGCTGGGTCAGCAATCTTGCAGTGTGCAAGGAAGACCTGAAGAGCATCATTCAAAGACAAGCTGAACATCCTCACCCCCAGGCTCCACCGGATGCCAGAACCCACTCACTCACCACAAGTCTGGGGATTATGGCATGTGCAAACTCCCCCTTTCCCTTCACAAAATTCCCAAGGAACAAACTGCCCAACTGCCTCTTCCAGGCTGGAGATAAACCCTCCCATCCCTTCCCACCACACTGCAAGAGCTTCTCTGCTCCATGCACTCTCCTGTTTCCTCGGACAGTTCAACACACAGGTGAGGCCAGGAACTGTTCTCAGGGTCTTTGAGGCCTATGAGTGTTTTAGGTCTAAAGAATAATTACTTTTCCTGGAAACTTATCTTTTCTTATCTATCTTTATCTTTCTATCTTGTCTTAGGTGCTTTCTCAAGAGTTACTGTTTGCCAATCCAGCCCTTTCTGGGTGGACCAACCCTCCTACATCCCAGCCTCATACAAATACCACAGGGGCACAACCTGAGCCGAGCTCTGAGTAGGATTATCTGGAGTTGCTGGATTAAACCCACACCTTCTAGAAAAGAGTGGCAGAGAGACGCTGGGGAAGGTGCCACACTCCTGGGCAGGTGATGTTACAGTGCTTTAGGCAGGGCCAAAACCCATCTCAAGATGGGTAAGGCTCAGAGGCCAAACTGAAGTGTCTCACAAAAGAGGTGTGAAACGCTGAACCCCCAAGGAACCCCTCCATTAGATACACCCTCATCCTCCTGTTCAGCTGACTTCTCTCACCCCCCTGGAGAACAGCGGCCCAGCCACCAGGCTGCGCACCCAGCAGGGGCCGAACCCTTCCCGCTGCACACAGCTACAACGCGCACCTGCCAGCGGGGGTCTGGCAGCTCTGGCACTGCTGGAGGACGGGCGGGCCTCAGCCACCAGCAGTTAATAAAAGGCATGGGGAAGCGCTGGCCAGCCCAATGCGGCGGGNCTGGTGCCCCGGAGCTGGCCCGGGGCTCGGTCGCTGTTGCGGTGCCGGTGGCTCTGCCGCGGGTTCTGTCACCGAGAGCCGCCGTGGGCAGCGCTGAGCGGCTGGGGCTGGGCGCTGAGAGAGCCCGAGCCGCTCCCGGGAGCATCGGCCGCTGGCTCCGTTCGCTGATGGAGAAATAAAACGCGGTGCAGCGGCTCAGCCCCCGGTGCTTCTCGTCCTGCACCCGCACCTGCTCTCCTCCACCGGGGATGCCCTTCTTGCCAGCAAAAGCCGGTTCCTCGCCGGTGGTTTCTGCCGGTGCAGCGAGCCGTGTGAGCAGAGGGAGGTTGGTGCCGGTGTAACCATGTCTGCTGGTTAGCTCAGCCCTTTTTTTTTGCTTTTGCTGGAGCCGGGTGCATCCCCGGACAGGAGAGGCCGGCAGAAGGTGCAGGAACCAGCCACAGACGGGTCTGTGCTCGGGCAGCCCGGTGTGGGCTCACTTTGTGCATTTTCCAGCTCACTTTGTGCATTTTCCAGCTCACTTTGTGCATTTCCCCCTTCATCTCACAGATGTTTTGGTCTCCACAGTGTGCCCGGAGCACACTGCTGTGGCTCAGGATAACGCGGTCGCTCAGATGCGAGCCTGGCTTTTCCAAACAAGGAATTTGTTTGGGTGCAGAACTGACTTAGTCTCTAAATTTCCAGACCTGCCTGTGTATTGACAGTGTTTTTGTGTTGTTTCTCCAATAAATTGTGTTCCTTAGGCACGTTGTTGCAGCGCTGGAATGTGCCCCCAGACCTGCAGCTGAGCAGACAAGTGGCTAGCACAGGCGTGCCTGGGAAAAAGGGCAGTAATTCGGTTTTTGTCCTTATTATGGGCTTGTCCACCTTAGGAGCAGGTGCCTATGTAAGTAGAAGGTGGTTCCTGGGAAGAAGCCGCAATCCGTCTCTCCTGTCGAGCATTTGCTGTATTCCAGCTCTCTTTACTCAGCTTTTGATCTCTGTAGCTTTATCTCTGTTTCCTCCTTCAGAAAACTTCAAGGGGAGCTAAATGGAAATTAACTTCTTATGATTACTTGGGTTTTAATTGTAATTTCAGTTACCTTTTTAAGTTTTTTTGCCTTAAAGGCGCTCTTGGGTTTTGTTTCTTTTTGTTATGACCAGCCACAGCTCTGTCTGTTGTCGTGTGACGAACAATTCCTTGACAAATCTCAGTTCAGAACATTTGTTTAACCTGTGTAAGTATACCAAATCAGCTGCCAGCTGGGGAGCATTTATGTTCTGCTTGAAAAGGATAAAGGTTTTCAGCCTCACTGAAAGAGTAAATGACATTCCCAAAGAGCTGAAGAGTATCAGCATTGCTTGGCAGTGGATAGATCTCAAGTTTGAACCACACATATCTTTGTTTCCAAGCTCATTCTCTAGGAGGATCACATTCATTTAAAGTTCCAAATTCCAGTTTTCTTCTAAGGAAGCTCCTGGGAAAGGGGAAAAAAAATTCACAACAGTGCATGGAAGAAAAAATATTTTCCTCTTTCCTTTAAATATAATTCTTTCCTGTGCCCTGCTGCCCTTTTTTATTGGCAGACAAGGTAGCTGAAATTACAAAGTGCGCTCTGCTTTTCCCAAGACCTGTTTAATCAAGAATCCTTCCTAATATTCAGCTCTTTCCCTCTTCTCTTCCATTGCCTGTCTTCCCCTGCAGTTTTGCAATGCCATCAGCTAAGATGCCCTTCTAGATCCCTGACGTCTTCAGGTGTTCCTGGCAAAGCTGGCAGCAACCTCTTGTTATACTTAATAGTGGGAGGAACAGTCACTGGGACAGGAGTTTATGTAAGACGCTTCCCTAAAGGTGTTTGTGGGGTGGGAGGGTGGAGGGGGGCACCTGTCTGTACCTCCCACCCTGTGACCCTTCACTTCCAGCCCTCTTCGTGCTCCCTGGCCTCAGGTACTTCATTTTCAAGGGACATTGCCAAATAATTTCAGGTTATAAATTGAGTGTTCTCAGGCGGTGCAGCTCTTGGTGGGGAAACCTACCTTAGAATTAACCTTTCCACATGAAGTAAATCTAAACTCAAACTGGCCATCTTTGGTTTGTGTAAGGGCACAGATTATTAATTAGTGCACCTCTCCTGATGTCAGTGATGTTGGCATGCAGAAAAGGAAACAATATCTGAATATAAATGTGCTAAAGGGAAGGCAATTGTTCAGCTTGGTGGTTTCCTCAGGGAAGAGCTCTGAAACATCACCCCACGTCCTGGCAAAGTTCTGCTTCTGACTAGAAAGAATTTGACATTGTCCCATTGGAAATATTTATCCTCAAGGCCTGATCTGATGTTTTGCCTGTGCATAATAGTGTTTTCTCCTAAAGGATCAGATTTAATTCGCTGTATGCTGCCCTTTGGACTCGCTTAAAACCTTCCTGATTCTGCTTGTAAAAGCAGAGGTGGTTTGTTAACCTTGGCTTTTCTGTCTTTGAGCAAAAGGCTTTAAAAATACCATTATCTTAATTCTCCTAAACACCAACAAGTTCTTGTTTTCTAATATTTCTGACATTTCTCCAGTTCCCTGGACAGGCTTTTGTCCTGTGCTCTTTTTTTGTGCCTGGTGTTAAATTCCTCCGTTCTCGTTTGAGACTATTTGCTATAAAACACCAACTTGTGAGAATTGGCAAATGAAATTTGATGTCATGCACATGACAGATATTATCAGCAAGGCTGGGGTTTTGCCTTAAAGAAAGGTTTTCTTCCCTCTAATTTTTTACCCTTGGGGAAGAATCCTGGACTCTGACCTGCTCCCAGCACTCCCAGTGTCTTCAGCTCCTGTCCATGACCAGTTTTTCTTGGAAGTTAACGTGACGTAAGCGATGTTCCCTCCTTGTCTGTACCAGTAAATTGTACATTCAGGCTCTGCTTGTGCTGCTTCCCGAGTTTCACAGTCAGATAAACAGGTCAGCATTCAGCTGGAAGAGATTCCGTGGCCAAGGGCAGTGCCTGGAGCAGCCCTGCTGCCATGGGTCGAGGGCCTGCTAATGTCAGGGTGTCCTGGCACCCCCGTGCCCAGAGAAAGCCAGTCAGGTGCTGGCTCTGCCCAGCTGCTCTGGGCTTTGGGAGCTGGGAGATGATTTTTCTTTGGATTTGTCGTCCATTTCTGCAGCCCTGTGTTGTGTCATGGCCCAGCTTGCATGTGGTGCTGGGGCTGGTTTGGCTGCATTTCCTTCACTGGAGCTGGTTCCCCTTGGAGCAGGTGTGCAGCCAAACACCTGCAGGAAGGTTGATTGCTTCTGGGAAGCAGCCAGGCACGCGAGGCTCCTCACACCACGTGGAGCAGGCCGTTTTCTGAGCACATTCTCAATCCAGGGATGTGTCTTTTGCCCCTCTTGTCACTGGCTTTTCCAGCACGTGGGGGGTGGACAAGAGCCTGTCAGGGGCAGCAGCAGGATGGTGCCTCGGTGCTGTAAGGTGCACAAATGTCTCCTGTCTGTCTGCAGGTGTACAAATCAGTGCAGGACAGCAAAGAGCGATACGCCAGCCGGCTCGCAAGGATCAACCGGCGCTCCCAAGATGATGAGTCCTCTGCCCCAGGTGGGTACCAGCCTGCCAGGTCAGGGTTGGCTCTGTTCTTCATTGAGACCCCCAAAACAAACAGAACAGAGCCTCTCTGGAAGCACAGATGTGCCTTGGTAGGATTGCACCTCTCAGCGGGTGCCGTTGTTCCAAATTCCCATTCAAGGCCAGGTTGGATGGAGCTGGAGCAGCCTGGGGTAGTGGAAGGTGTCCCCTGCCATGGCAGGAGGTGGAACTGGATGAGCTTTAAGGTCTCTCCCAACCCAACCCAACCCATTCTGTGATTCTGTTGTTCTGTGACTTCCCAGCACAGAGGACAATGCTGGCTCCATGACCCAGAACAGGCTGTTTTACAGACAATCCTGAGGATGAAGCAGGATGTCTCCTGGGGCTGATTTCTGCCATTTACTCCTTCTGTGATAAAAAGAGAGAAGAGTGAGCCCTGCTTCTGCCTTTTACCTCTGCACAGCCTGGCAGGGACACTGATTCCAGAGGGCCTCTTTCCCTGGCTGCTGGAGAGCCTCTTCATCCTGGGGCCAGCCCTGAGTTCTGGTGCTGATGCTGAACTGCCTGGTTTGTCCCTGCCCATGGATTAACCACGTGCTGCTCAGCAACAGGACCTGCCTGGGGGAGGAGGTGCCTTCTGCAGGAACTCAAAAGTTGTCTCCTTGAACAGAATTACAGAAAAACGTGCCTTGGCCTTTTGGGGAACTTTCTTTTCTTATAAACTGTTCACTGGTTGGCCAGTGCAGAGTTTAGGGCTTGCTTAGAAAAAGCAGTTTGCAGAAATCTGACCGATTCCTGCAGGGAGCAGCTTTGGGGGAAGCAGCAGTGGGGTTCTGGGGCAGAAGAAGGACAATTTCCAAAGGAAGTCTGGATGTGGAAGGCCCCTGG